TCTCAAGTCCCTAACCAACCTTCCACACCAAATTAATAATCCCAAATAAAATATTACTATTTTATCCTTGAAAACTGAGAGAAAACCAGCTTTACTTACTCTTGCTTCTATGTAAATTAACACCTCAGTCTATCTTCTTCACTGCAAGCTCCGCTCTGCCGTCTTCTTTGTCCGAAATTTTCAACAGCTCAACGACGCCGTTTCCAGCATGGCTCTGAAGTCGTTCATCGAAGTCCACACCAGCTCGCACTTCCCCATACAGAACCTCCCGTACGGAGTCTTCAAGCCTGAACCAGGTTCAGTGGCCCGACCGGGCGTGGCAATCGGTGACTGCGTCTTGGACCTCTCTGTAATCGCCGCAGCTGGTCTCTTCAACGGTCCGATCCTCAATAACTCCGATTGCTTTAACGAGGTCCGTTTGATCATCAATTCCATCTTCACTATAATTGATGATCAATGCAGTAATTAATTGCTCTGTTTTGGTTGTTAGCCTAATTTGAACAAGCTATTGGCATTGGGACGGCCTGCTTGGAAGGAAGCGCGTGCTACGCTTCAGAAACTATTGTCATGTATGCGTCTTTATTTATTTATTTATTTATTTATTCAAGTAATTAGGTTTAGTTTATACTTCATTAAGTTAATAACTAAGCTTCATTTGGTTAATTATTGGTGCAGCTACAGAGCCATCATTGCGTGACAATGAAAGTTTAAGGCAGAAATCACTTATTCCACTGGTATCTGAGAAATTATATGGTTTTGAATATATGATACTTTTAAGCTTAGATTTTTCCCCTTTTTCTATATATTTATTTATTTATTCGTCTTTCTTTATGTGGATCAATGTTTAGAGCGACGTAGAAATGGTTCTTCCTATTGCCATAGGGGACTATACGGACTTCTTTTCATCCTTGCATCATGCAAAGAACTGTGGAACAATATTTCGTGGACCACAGAACCCGATTCCACCAAACTGGTATGTGGATTTTGAAAAACGCATAGAACATAAGTTCTATTTTTACTTGTAATATTGTTTTTACAAGTCCAGGAAGTCTGAATATTACTTTATGCCCAGGTTCCACCTTCCAATTGCATATCATGGTCGAGCTTCTTCAATTGTTATCTCTGGAACGGACATTACTCGACCCAGGTCCGAGTTTATTTATCTATTGTTGCTTTTAGGCTCATTGAGTACGCAGGTTGAATGGAATCTTATATTATACAATTTTTATTTGTTTTATCACAGAGGTCAAGGCCCTCCTGCTGGAAACTCTCCACCACCTTTCGGTCCCTCCGTGAAACTAGACTTTGAGCTCGAAATGGTTAGGCTTTCTATGCTCTAGTATAGCCTTTAGTACTGTAGAACCTCATAATTTTGGTTATGTCCATAACTCGTTGTATTTATTATGTTCTGCCGATTCTCATTTTGCTTGTAGGCTGCTATAGTTGGTCCTGGAAATGAGTTAGGAAAGCCCGTGGATGTTAATGAAGCAGCAGATCACATCTTTGGACTTGTGTTGATGAATGACTGGAGTGGTATGCTTGCTTCTTGCTTCTATAGGTTCTTCTCATCCTTCATATTTAACTTTTGGTTATGCTTGATAAGAAGTTGGTTTTGACAGCTAGAGATATTCAGGCATGGGAATATGTTCCCCTTGGGCCTTTCCTTGGGAAAAGCTTTGGTAAGAACCGAAAACCATGACGCCTCATTCTTACATTCCATTTCTGTAGCTTAGAGTACTGGATTTAAGCACTATCTCAGTTGGTTGACTGCAAGACTGACATTATTTTTGTGTAAAAATGTAAATATTAGGGACTACAATATCCCCTTGGATAGTGACGCTAGAAGCTCTAGAACCTTTTTCTTGTGAGGCTCCCAAACAGGTGCTTACTCAGATTTGCATAGCACCATAATTTCCCAATTTTCTTTCTAATTGTGTGTGGCTTTTTATTTATGTTATACATGCTGCGAATTGTAGGACCCCCATCCATTGCCCTATCTGGCTGAAAAGATCTCCAAAAATTATGACATTTCATTGGAGGTATCTTCCATCTCGTTGGCACACTTGCTTCTTTCAGTTTATAAACATGTTTCTTTTATAATCTCCAGTGATGCATAAATCAATAATCATCCTTCTTGGCCTTATGAATTTTGTTCTTTTTAATGGTTAAGATTGTAAATAGTTATATGCTCTTCCATTCTTGAGATGACGATGAAACTGCCTTTTATTGCAAGGTTCAAATTAAACCTGCTGGACAAGATGATTCACACGTGGTCACAAAGAGTAATTTCAATAATTTGTAAGGATTTCTGCCCAATTACTTCCTCGACATATTTAATCTTTAGTTGGGACAACGTCTTGCCCTGTTAACCATTGAATAAGTTACCTAGCTTTCTCTGTCTTCCCTCAACAAAAACTATGCAACAGTGATGATGCCTACTCAGACTTGCCCTGACAACGTCTTGCCCTGACAATCATGATGCCTACTCAGACTTGGGACATCTCCTCTGTTGTAGTTTACTTGCAGTCTGGTATAAAGTGCTTTATATGCATCATTACCAAGCTTTCTTTGGTGCTGCACTTCCAAGGGGCATCATAAGTTCCTTGTAGCTTAGTTGAATGCTTAACAGGATGCTAAATAATCCGATGAAAGAAAATCCATGTTTTTATACTTTTTATTTGTTCTGGTGTGATCCTGTTATAATGTTATCTTAATTTCTGCAACTCGTATACAGATATTGGACATTGACTCAGCAGCTAGCACACCATACTATCAATGGTTGCAATTTAAGGCCGGGCGATCTCCTTGGAACAGGGACCATCAGCGGACCTGTATGGTTTCAGTTTGTTCTAATATATTCCTACATTCATATGACATTTTGTTTGAGTGAAATTTTTTGCTAGAGTGAACTCCATTCATCATTTGTGTTTCACAACAGGAGCCAGAATCTTATGGATGCTTGCTGGAGTTGACATGGAACGGACAAAAGCAGCTCTCCTTAAATGGGACTCCTCGTAAATTCCTAGAAGATGGAGATGAAGTCATCATTTCTGGTGTTAGCAAGGTTAGTGCTTTCCATATATTTGATCATGACGATATTGTGTTGTAAAATTTGCTCCATTTATCATGAAGCTAATTTATGTTTTCACATAGTTGGCGATTTCTGTTTAAGCCAGCGATAGGATAAGCTTTACGTGCTTAGTTGTCTATCCCTTGTTGTGTTTGATATTTTTACTATGTGCAATTGCAAGTGTAGCATCTAATATGTTTCCATTGCAGGGGAATGGTTACAACATTGGCTTCGGGACATGCTCTGGAAAGATTGTGCCTTCACCTCCTTGAAGACTTTTGCTTCTTCTTGTTGGAGCTGTGTGTCCCACTCGCTTTTCCATTGTCGTTATGTAATTCTTCTTTTGACTTCATTCGGTGCTCAATGAATGTCGTACTATTTAGTGAATAATTCATTGGGAGTTTCACTAAAACACCCAAAATGGAAGTTGAAATTATAAAAAAACTCAACACCCAAAACACTTTATAAACACACCCAAAACCAATCATTACACACACTCAAAACCCATTTATAAGCACACCCAAAAAGTTGACTTTGGAGTTGATTTTGGGTATGTTTCTATGTTTAAATAGTGCTTGGGTTTTTTTATAAATACATGTCTAGGATTGGGTTTATTTATAAATTTGTATAATTGATTCCCCGTGTGTCCCACTCACTTTTCCATTGTCGTTATGTAATTCTTATTTGAAGGAGGCTTTTGTTTTGCTGCTTTTTCGTGTGACACTATGAATAAAAAAGAAGCATTCCTCCAAAAAGGGGGCGTGGGCGTGGGTCCCGTAAATTAACGGACGGGAGGACCGACGGGGTTGCTGAGCTGAGTGCTCACGCCACCCATGCAACACTGTTACGCGCCAAGACCATTCAAGAACCTCCTACAGTTCCGAAATTATTTCTTTTTATTTTAAAATTCACAGACGATTTTCATTTTTCACACTCAAAACTTAAACTCATCATCCACACTACACGCACAAGTCTAGTACTAGACTAGGCTTTTAGCAGAATATGAAACCCTCTCGCAGTCGCAGGCTCAGCTTCTCCTCCTCCTCTTCTACCACCACCGTCACCTACACTCTCCACAATGACCAACCTGCCCCTCCCACCGCCACCGAAATTCCCATCCAGTCCTCTGCTACCCCAATTCCCATCACCGTTCACGTACCCCAATCCACCGCAGCTATCAAAATTCAATCCGCCTACCGGGCTCACCTCATCCGCACTCTCTATAAAACAATCGCAGCCGTGCATTCCGAGGCCGACCAGTTCCAGCGCCTCATTCAACGGCAGGAAACGGTCGACGCCGTGAGGAGCAGCGAGCGCGAGAAGCTGAGGATGAACGAGGAGCTGATGAGGTTGCTGCTGAAGCTGGACTCCGTTCGCGGGGTGGACCCCGCAGTGAGAGAAGCGAGAAGAAAAGTGAGCCGTCGGATCGTGGGGTTGCAGGAGATCGTAGACGCGATTGTTTCAGAAGATGTTGATGGCTTTTGGGGATGTGGAGATGCTGGGTTTGTGAGGAACTGGGACGACGTCGTTGCGGAGATGGAGGAGGGTGTGTGCAGGGAGAGAGGGGGTGAGGAGATGGAGAGGTTTTGTGCTCAGTATCTGGGGTTTCGCTGCTTACAGAGGTTTCTGCACGAGCCGTGATCTAGTGCGTGCGGCCACTGCTTGTGCGTAATATGTAATGTACAGACTGCATATGCACACTGCAAATTGTAATTGTTATGCAGTGTGCCTGTTATAGCTAGTCTTTCTATTCGTCTATTTATTTATCGTGAATAAAACCTCTACTTGTAGTAGTTTCATGAAATTGAAACGCCTCAAATAACTCTCAAATTCTCAGTCTTGGTCACATAGAAATCTGATGTTTGTGATGTTAGCTGTGATTCTGTGTCACAAAATAGATACTGAAATTGAAATTAATTTACAAACCATATAAAGAGATTTTTCAATAAGCTGGAGATGCATAAAATTTGCGATAAGTAGAAACATACAGACACAGAGCTTCTTGGGAAGTCATCTATCTATGACATGCAGTTGCACTTGCAGCGCAACATGCACTTCTTGCAGTCAGAGAGCTTAGGTTTGCCACCAGAACCACAGTTACACCTCTTGACACAGTTGGCCCTTGAGCTTCCACCCCACAAGCATCGAGCCATACACCGCAGAACCGGCGTGCATTCTGGGCATCCAAACTTCATCTGATTAGCCACGCAGTCTCTACACTGACTGCCGTCCGATGGGCAAGCCAGTGCTGGGAACACAAACAACCACAAAAGCAGCAGCAGCAGCATCAGTGGCACAGCAGCTTGTGTAGAAGCCCTTTTCTCCATGATCTGCTTCTGAAATGAGTCGTAGATGCCTGGCTAAGTGATTTATATTCTTGTTTGTTACATTACATGCATGTAGAAGAGGGTTTTCAGCCTCGTTGAACAACTACCTCATTTAGTGCCATTGAATGCCACGTCTTGGTTTGCACAACGTTTTTATCTGCACGTATTTCTATGTCCGGTCTCTAGAGTGCACCACATCACCAGCTCCTAGTGCTCAGTTAAGGTCAGCACAAACAAAGTAATTTTGGAGTTGGTCAATGAGCTATTATTATGGTGTGTTGATCCAGATTCCAGATCCATGCTGTAGGATAACTACTTGCACCAGTACACAAGACATAACCGCCCCTTCTGATTAAATGTAGAAGACTTTGACAATTGTTTCCTTGTAACATTTTTTGAGAATGAGACAATTTCATTAATCAATCGATACTGAATAGTACAACAAGTAAAAACGTGGCATCGTTAAAATCTTCCCGAAGAAAACTACATAAAATAAAACTTGGGGTAGAAAAGAGTGCCACACTTACCAATTACAGAGATAAATCAATATTATAAAGAAAGACAATCATCCTGGATACAATCCATGAGCCATGGGCCCCCGACTCCAGCCAGTATGAGAGATCTCTGTCACGTAAACTAAACTTGGCAATCCGATGAGCCACCTTATTAGCAAGGCGAGGGATATGTCAAACAGTCACTGACGGATTATGGTGCAGCAGCCTTCGGATTTCCTCCACTAGACCCCCCCCTGGTAGCAAAGCAGACATCTCCACTATTGATCATGTTTACAGCTATAATAAAACCAACACCCCGAATTCCTTCTTCCAATATTATGTGTGTAAAATACATTTGTTTCCTTGTACCATTATGTGTGAAAAATATACGTGTCATGGACTGAATAGGAAAGGCGTGAGGGAAGGTAGCTAGCCTAATTCTTTTTCAGACCACCATTCGAGGGAAGAAGCTTCCAGTTCTTACACTGCCCTCAAACAATCTATAGTTTTCATGCACATATATAAACCAATAAGACATGAGCTGGACACTCAAGATCGGCTTTTTATTTCACATCGATAAAAAAAAGCAGAGTTACATACATACAAATTGGTCTATCTACGACCAAAAAATAAAAATACAGACTGTTCTATCACCCTGTTTTCCAAGGATGAAGGTGAAGCAAACAAATATATTGGGAGAAGGCAATACAACGACCAATCCCAGGTCTCTTAAATTCCGACCAACTCTCTTCCAAAATTATACATCTAAATCCCGAATGGGAAGTCTGAAACGATGATGTGTGACCCAATTCTGCATGAACAGATTCTTCAATGTTTCACCTCACTCTCCTTCACTGAGGATTGGAACAATGAGCGGTTTCATCTGTGCAACGTATACAATTGCCCACCTAACAAGTATCGAAAAGAGCACGGCAAAGTCAATATCCAAGTGAGCAAGTTTGCAACAAAACTATAATAAAAGATCAAAGGGAAAACATACATCATCCAACAGCACACTACTGCTGTGATCACCAGTGTAAGATGGAGCCTGCACAGGAGCAACATTACATTAGCTTAGCTGCCAGAGGATTTGAAAGGAAGCCCCCACTGTTGGAAGGTCCAAAAGTTTTCCAATCTCAATCATGTAAACAACATTTCAGCACTAAGTACTAGACGTAGATGTTGAGTAAACATTGAAGCAACAAGGCCATTTCTCATTTGATGTAGATGTAGATGTTTAGGATCAAAACTATATTTTCCACAGAGATTCAGGCTAATAATAGAACATATTTCACACACAAGTGTACCCAATTAATCTATACATTCAAGGGGATCTCCGTCATGTGTCTAACTAGAACTCTCACTGATATGATATCCTTAGATGTAACATGAAAACCACAATGATCACGGTCTTCCTCCCGATATAAACCCGACTTAGCACCATATTTCACACTTTAAATCAACACGACACGACCATATTTCTTAATTTCTTTTCCAACAATCCCATGTGTTAGATTTTTTCCCCATAATGTTTTGATGCAACAACAAGAGAGGCACTCAAAATCGAGGATACGCTAAAACGGACTACAAATGTGTTTTATCCATTAGCTTAACCGGCATATAGACTATAACAGTTTCGATCTGATCATCCCTAATCTCCAATTTTCTATCATCAACTATGTCCAAATTAACATTCAGACTTACTTCCACTCCATTATTGAATTAACAACTGGAAACAAAATTAAAAAGATAAAAGCTTTGAATTCATATGATAAGGTTTTGCATTGTGGAACAAATGGAAGAGAAAGCAAAGTAGCAGAGCATGTAAGACATACAAATTGGCCGAAGCGCCTCTACCGCAGCAGATTCTGACCATAAGGGAAGCAATTACGCCCACCATTGCAAAGATTAGAGTTGTAACCACAAAACCCATTACGCTCTTATTTGATTCCAACCCTTTTCTTTAGGCAATCAAATCAGCAAACAGTATCAGTTGATCTGCAAAACCATAATTTTACAGATCAGAATCCAATTGGATATCAATGAGCTCAAACTCTACTTGGATCTTCAACAGATTCTAAATAAAAATATGAAAGGTAAAACACAGCAAGATATAAAATAGGAGGAACCTTCTTACCCTGAATGATATGATTGTCTTCCAAAAACAAACAAAGCTGTACGTTGCCTCAGGCTCTCTCCAAGCTCTGGTTTTGCTGTGATGGGGATGAAACAGATTGGGATTTATTAGTAACTAATAAGCTACTGCCGCGTCAGCGTAACTTTTATCAATAATAAACAACAACAATAAACAAAAAATTGATACCATGACCAACTGGAAAATGGTAATTTGACCTGCTTATTTATACTGTTGGGTTGCAGTATCATGTAGCCCTTCAGGGTATGTGGGCTCAGAATTTAGAGCAGCTGGACCAGAATGGGCTTAGTCATGGTAGTTACCCAAGATTTATGGAATTGCATTCGACTTGACGTTGGGCCTCATAACACATGGACCATTAACACCTGCCCCTTGCCATTATTGGTCTGGAAATACTTTGCCTTCTTCGTTGGAGTAGGTACTCTTACTTTTATGTTAATCACAGTTTGATATGCGTGTTTTTAATGTTTTCATGAGAGGGAAGTAGTTTTCATGTCGGCCCGGCAAAAGTGGTTGTCATGTGCGAACTAGTTGCGTGGGAAGTAGTGTTCATGTTGTCACGGAAAAAGGTTAAATTTTGTTTTGTGTTTCTGGTTTGGTGTGGTTAGTAGACTATCTTTTACTTTTACGACTCTTTGGTGTCACAAAAACAAACAATTAAATTGATTTTGGCAACTTCTACTCCAAATCCAATTGCAATAGTTGTTTCTATATATACGTGTTGCTTGGCATATGGGTTAACTTATTATGAATATTGCAATTTGCATATGGGTTGAAAATTCAACGTCAAGCTCTAATACTTTAATTTCTATACCCGACTCTGACAGACATCCATCCGCTTTTTGGTTTTTGCTTTTTAGTCCACGAACATCATTTTGTTGAGTTGAAAATGCTTGTGTCGGAAAAGTCTGAATTCCAAAGAGTAGCGAGCGATTGCAGTAATTTCTTGTGGCTCTTTGACGAAACCACAATTAGAGTTGTTAAATCAAATTTAGAAGCATAAATAATAATGATTACTATTAGACTAGACCAGTAGAGTCTAACACATGAATTACTAGCATCACTCGATCATGACCAAAAAATTCAAAAGCAGAGACAACTTTATAAAGACCATTTGATTTGGACAACTTTAAGCTTCAAATTAAATGTTCTGGTCCACCATGCAACAGTAGCCACGGGAAGAAAATGGTATCAGAAGAAATCTAGACCGACTTTGATTGATGCACACAAATAATGTAAAGTTTAATTTGCAATTTGGATCTTTTTTTTATTTAATAAGACTGGGATTATTGCTCAGTAATTAATCCCCTACAAATACTCTACTCATGTAGTATTTACCAACTACGCTTAATTAAGAGAGAATTGGGTTTAACAAAGTTGCTAACATTTTCCATAAACTCGGTGAAAGCCACATATTCTCTGTATGCCATCACGTCCGCTTCACACCGCACCAACAGAGAGGGCAAAAACAGCCACAGCCCCGTCACCACCACAAACGTCATTGCTAACGGCCCTGACAAGGCCGCAGGCAACCGCCATTTACCGTCAAACGTCTGCTTGAGCATAATCTCAACGGCCAAACACACCCCGTGGAGTAGAAAGAAGCACGTGAGCTCCCACGTGGGCTTCGTTCGTCCAATGTAATAGAAGATCAGCTCATGCATCACTGCCGACACGAAAAAGGTAGCGATCACAGCTGGAAGCGGGGCCCACCTGTTCCCGATCACGCGGCTGGAGATGCTCCGGACGGGGTCGTATACTGTAGGGTGCAGGATTCTACTGACCATGATGTTCCACCTTCGTCCCCAGAAGTCCTGGAGTGACGTGGCCAGATAAGGCTCGTCGAACTGCGGCTCGAAATCGACACCGAGGAAGGCTTGAGCCAAGGAAGCAACCAATGCCAGGACAAGTTCAAGGCCAGTGTACATATAGATTGAGTAGAGGAAGAGTATGATTTTTGGGTGGATATATTGTTTGTTGTGGAAAACGTGTAGAGATGTGGCAAAGATTAGAGCTTTGATCGCATAGTTAAAAGGAGATTTCTGGCCTTTTGGGGCAGATGTTGAAGATCCTGATTTTATTTTGTTCTCAACTTTTCGGAATTTGATTGGAAGGCAAGCCAAGGGGATGAAATGGGAGATGGAGATGGGTGGGGTGGTGGAGAGAGGGCCTTTGCCATAGGCAAAAAGTAGGAGCTTGAAGTTGGCAAGCCAAGCAAGAAAGAAAGAGGAAGGGCCTCCAAGGAAAATGGTGGTGAGATTGAGAGGAAGGAAGAAGAAGAAAAATATGACTGGAAGTATGGCAAGGAGCCTGGTTAAACCAGGAGAAGTGAGCTTACCTATGGTGTGACAGTAGGAGAGTGAAGCCACAGCTAAAATCCATACCATGATGAAGTTGGGTATTTCTCCTTCCATTTTTCTTTGCTTGCTTAAATTTGATTTCTTAATTGTGTTTGTGGTGGTGAGAGATATTTGTGAGAGGTTTTGACTTTGAGATCGATGTACTTTTAGAGAGAGAGAGAGAGAGAGAAAGAGAGAGAGGCCTATTTTGGTAGATTTGTATGAATCGGTGATTGATGGTTTTTAATTGGGTGGTTGCCTGGCTTGACTCGTGGTCGAAAACAAGTTGAGAAAAAGATGTGGGATATGAGAAATTTTTATATGTTCCAGGTACACCACGTGACTGGTGTACCATTCAATAAACATAGGACATGTGGAATTATTGTTTAACTTACTGCATTTCTTTTTATAACACGTGGTAGACTGCATTGCAAATATTCCATATATCTTCTTTCTATTGAATGGTACACCAGCCACGTGGTGTACCCGGAACACCCAAAAATTACTCGTAGGATATGTACTATTAATTGCTAAAAACCAGTTATATTAACACCCATTGTTAATGATGATGACAAAATGTTTTATTCATTTTGGAAGCGAAAAAGAAAGACAGATACTCGGGTGGATAAAGAATTAATGCAGGACAAAAATACTTTAAGGAAACAATTCGTCTGATTAGCTTCCCAATTGACCTAGTTAATTAGTCAGTCCAAGTTCCAACCATGAGTGCCTGCCAGTCAAGGTATGCACCACGTTTTCTTAGAACTTCCGGGGAGGAGAATTTTGAACTTTGAATAATTAAGGGCTACTTCCATCACTTTAATCCTTGGTATAATTCAATGATGCATTGTTGTTGCTATTATTGCCTTTTCTGAGAACATTGAAACCAACTTGCATCAAAACAAGAAAATAATTAAAATAAAAAGTGACGACTACTTTGATTAACTTGAGAATGTGGCCCATCGGTTGAATAGTAATGCTATTTAGACACACAAGCTTAATCATATTAGCCGACCACGTCATTTAAATACCCTATTTTTATGATATGTGGGCTCATAATTTAGAGCGGTGGGATCAGAATGGGCTTAGTTATGGTAGTTACCCAAGATTAATGGAATTGCATTCGACTTGATGTGGGCCTCGTAACACATGGACCATTAATACCTGCCCCTTGCCACAAATACTCGCCATTATTAGTTAGGAAATATTCGCCATTATTGGTTAGGAAATATCCTATTTTTATGCTAATCAAAGGAGGAGGGAACTAGTGTTGATGTGGTCCCGGCAAAAGTGGTGGTCTTGTGCGAACTAGTTGTGTGGGAAGTAGTGTTGATGTTGTCCCGGCAAAAGGTTAAATTTTGTTTTGTTTTCTTGTTTGGTGTGGTTATTATTAGAGTGTCTTTTCCTTTTACGACTCTTTGGTGTCACAAAAACAAACAATTAAATTGATTTTGGCAACTTCTACTCCAAATCCAATAGCAATAGTTGTTTCTATAAATGTGTTGCATGGCATATGGGTTAACTTGTTATGCATGCGTGGTGTTGGAAGCAATTGCTGAATTGCATATGGGTTAATAGTCCAGCAGAGTCTAACACGTGAATTACTAATCCAGCATCATTCGATCATGACAAAAAATGCAAAAGCAGAGACGATTTATAAAGACCATTTGATTTGGACAACAATAAGGTTCGCGGCGCGCGCCTTGCCCTTTTCATAAAGCTTCAAATTAAATGTTGTGGTCTACCATGCAAAAGTAGCCACGGGAAGAAAATGCTTTCATTGATGTGTAAGCTTGTAAAGGTCATCAGAGTCATTGAATCAATCTTGAACTCATGTTTGCACACATAGAGATTGATACAAATTTGTCCGGTAAACTCATATAGATGTGAATAAAGAATCCTAAATGAGTTTAGGAATCCTAATCCTATTAATATTGACATAAGTGTATAGATACTAGGTGTACAAGTTATATTCTAATTGGGTTTCTAATGGGAGAATCCAATCAAATTTTCACCAGCTAACAACATTAATACAGAGGTCCCTGCCTTCGCAAGCATACGCACCAAAACAGTACTCGAGCCCCATTGAGAATTGGTGATCTAGAGCTTTCATAAGGTAGAAGATCTTTGTGTATCAGAGTTAATTTTTCCGCAGGTTAGTGCTTAATGAGTTAGAGTTTCAGTCGTTATTTTGATCTACATGATGCACACAACACAAATAACGTAAAGTTTAATTTGCAATTTGGATCTTTTTTCATTTAATAATACTGGTTTATTGCTCAGTGTTATACTAATTAATCCCCTACAATAATGAAAGTGCAATACCCTACTGATTTAAGAGAGAATTGGCTTTAACAAAGTTGCTAACATTTTTCATAAACTCCGTGAAAGCCAGATACTCTCTGTATGCCATCACGTCCGCTTCACACCGCACCAACAGAGACGGCAAAAACAGCCACAGCCCCGTCACCGCCACAAACGTCATTGCTAACGGCCCCGACACGGCCGCAGGCAACCTCCATTTACCCACGAACGCCTGCTTGAGCATAATCTCAACGGCCAAACACACCCCGTGGAGTAGAAAGAAGCACGTGAGCTCCCACGTGGGCTTCGTTCGTCCAATGTAATAGAAGATCAGTTCATGCATCATCACCGACACGAAAAAGGACGCGAGCACAGCTGGCAGCGGGGCCCACCTGTTTCCGATCATGCGTCTGGAGATGCTCCGGACGGGGTCGTATACCGTAGGGTGCAGGATTCTACTGACCATGATGTTCCACCTTCGTCCCCAGAAGTCCTGGAGTGACGTGGCCAGGTAAGGCTCGTCGAACTGCGGCTCGAAATCGACACCGAGGAAGGCTTGGGCCAAGGAAGCAACTAATGCCATGACAAGTTCAAGGCCAGTGTACATGTAGATTGAGTAGAGGAAGAGTATGATTTTTGGATGGATAAATTGTTTGTTGTGGAAAACGTGTACAGATGTGGCAAGGATCAAAGCTTTGATCGCATAGTTAAGAGGAGATTTCTGGCCTTTTGGGGCAGATGTTGAAGACCCTGATTTTATTTTGTTCTCAACTTTTCGGAATTTGATTGGAAGGCAAGCCAAGATGATGAAATGGGAGATGGAGATGGGTGGGGTGGTGGAGAGAGGGCCTTTGCCATAGGCAAAGAGAGGAGCTTGAAGTTGGCAAGCCAGGCAAGAAAGAAAGAGGAAGGGCCTCCAAGGAAAATGGAGGTGAGATTGAGAGGAAGGAAGAAGAAGAAAGATATGACTGGAAGTATGGCAAGGAGCCTGGTTAAACCAGGAGAAGTGAGCTTACCTATGGTGTGACAGTAGGAGAGTGAGGCCACAGCTAAGATCCATACCATGATGAAGTTGGGTATTTCTCCTTCCATTTTTCTTTGCTTGCTTAAATTTGATTTCTTAATTGTGTTTGTGGTGAGAGATATTTCGGAGAGGTTTTGAGTTTGAGATCGATGTACTTATAAATATATATATATATATATATTTTAGAGAGAGAGAGAGAGAGATTAATTACTAGAAACCAATTATATTAACACCCATTGACATTGTTAATGATGACAAATTGTTTTATTCATTTTGGACGCAAAAAAGAAAGACATATAATCGGTTGGATAAAGAATTAATAGAGGACAAAAGTACCTGAAGGAAACAATTATTGGACAAAAGAGCTCTCATTCATTCACTGTACAACCTTTGACACAAACAAAAGGGGATCTTGGAGTTGGTCAAATCTGACCCAATGATCCTACATACATACAGATATATATAAATAACTGGGTGCAAAGTTGGAAGGCGGTCCAAATTTCCACCACTTGATTTAGATTTACTCTAGAAATATAATAACTGGGTGCTTCACATGTTTCTGGTACACAAACAAAAACAATTTCTACTTGCTAGCTACTCACAGATCCTGTTAATTCTTTCCTTTCCTATCTACCAAATTCCAAAGACATAACAACCGTCCAAAAATGAGTATCTCGCTCACCGATTTGAGCCACGCAGTCGCTCGCTGTGTTCGTTCCACCTCCAATGGTTTAATCAATGAAAATCATAACCATAACCACCCAATTGAAATACTAATTAATTAAGCTGAAAACAATAATAAAAAAGGACAAGTGGTCACATGGGTACCATTCATGGATTATTGCGTCAAGTCAAACAACTTCAGCTAATTGGCCAAAAGATAGTATTGATTCGTAGTCGTTTTTGGCTGATGGATTGGATTGGATTCACCGAAATCCTAGTCTTCGCATTGGCTTTCTTTCTTTCTTTCTTTCTTTCCATCTTGGTTGATGAATTTGGTATTATTTTCCTTAAGTTTTTCTGCCTCTGCCGTGACGTGATGTCCTGACGGAATAAACTCCACCGGCCCTTCATTAAATAGCCAGACAATATCTATTTGGTCATGTGCCAACAACCACCACCCATTCCATGTTCCATGGCCATCTTACACAACACAACCCAACCCAACCCAACCCAAGTCAATCAAAAAAGTTCCAACCTCAATAAGTTCCAAAATAGCATTTTGGAGAAATATTAAGAGATCGTTTCGTTTTGGCAGAAATGGAAATGGAGGGTGAGATTGGAAACTTCATTAAGGTATGGCTCTCGGTCTTCTTATCTCTCTTCTACTGCTATGCATTTGGTAAGTTTGTACCAAAAGGTTTTCCAAGACTCTTGCTCATAATTCCAGTTGTAGCCCTCTTCCTAGACCTTCCTCTTCACCTCTCCACCATCCATCTCGGAGGCACCACTGCTTTCTTCATTTCTTGGCTTGCCAACTTCAAGCTCTTGCTCTTCGCCTTTGGGAAAGGCCCTCTGTGCTCCGACCCTTCAATCTCTCTTCCCCGTTTTGTAGCCGTCGCTTGTTTACCCATCAAGATCCAACAAAACCCACCTCCAAAAACACCCCAATTCCAAACCTCAAATCATCAAAATGGCCACAACTCAAACACAAATGGGCATGCAACAACAAAACAAAACCCAGCTCCGAAATCCCCGTTCAACTACGCACTCAAAGGCCTGCTCTTGGCTCTGTTGATAAAGGTATATGACTACAAAGAGCACCTCCATCCAAACCTGATATGGGCCATGTATTGCTTCCACATATATTTTGCCCTAGAAATCATCCTCCTCATGGCTGCCGCGCTGGCTCGAGCCCTTCTGGGACTTGAGCTCGAGCCCCAATTCAACGAGCCCTACCTCTCCTCCTCCCTCCAAGACTTCTGGGGCAGACGATGGAACATTATGGTCACCAGCATCCTGCGCCCCACCGTGTACGAACCCGTCGTCGCGCTTTCGACACGGGTGGTGGGGCGCAGGTGGGCCCCGCTCCCGGCCGTGATGGGGACCTTCATAGTGTCGGCGATTATGCACGAGCTCATATTCTACTACCTGGGGCGGCTGCCGCCCACGTGGGAGATCTCGTGGTTCTTCCTCCTCCACGGGCTGTGTTTGGTGGTTGAGATCGCCGTCAAGAAGGCGATTGCTAAACGGAAGAAGTTTCAGGTGCCGAGGTTGGTGTCTGGGCCTTTGACCGTTGCGTTCGTGACGGGCACCGTGTTTTGGCTCTTCTTTCCTCCGCTGCTGCGGTGTAATGCTGACGTGAGGGCTCTTGGGGAGTACGCGGCTGTTGGCGCGTTTTTCAAGAAGGTCGGTCGTGCTTTTGCATCTAGACTTCTAGAGCCATGAACACAACAAGAAGAAGCAACTGGTCGTAGCAGAAGACTTAGTTGTAGCTGTTGACATTATTTTACAGTTACATTACATACAATTTTAACACTTTTTTAAATGAACATGCAAAAGCATGATAGAGAAGTATTCAATCAATCGGCTGTATTCTCAAGTTAAGTTAATCAAAGTAGTCGTTACTTTTTAATTTAATTAGTTTCTTCTTTTGATGCAAGTTGGTTTCAAGTTCTCAGAAAGGTGTTTTTGAAAATAACAAAAAGTTATCAGAAAAGAACATGATGGCGCCACTAATAGCGACAACAATGCATCATTGAATCACATCAAGGATTAAAGTGATGGAAGTAGGCCTTAATTATTCTAATAGGGAAAAATTCAAGGTTCAAAATTATCCTCCCTGGAAGTTCCAAAAGAACGCGGTACCTTCACTGGCAGGCACCCATGGTTTGAACTTGGACTGACTGAATTAACCAGGTCAAATGGGGAGCTAATCAAACCAAGCGGAAGTCTTGCAATTATTAAACTAACCACCACTTGCAAATTATGTTTGTTTAATTAATAATCTAATGTTAATGTCAGCCCTCAGCAATCTGTCAGCAGACAGCACATGAATAAAGCAATTGAATTTTATGGCAATCAGATAAAAGCTATATGAATGAATAATCAACCCAATCATAGTACCGAAAATAAAAAATAAAAAATAAAAAATCATAGGTTGGACATTTAGAACGGAGATCATTATCAAACAGTTTGCTACATTCCTTCAGCACTTTACATCTGCCTACTCTACAGTACCGACGGTTTTTTCTCTGGGTAACCATATAATATCAATTACTTCACTGTCAAAATTTGGTCAAAACTAACAACTTACAGAATCCATGGAACCATAAAACTCATAAACTCAGGCAAATGTCACGTCAAAATGTTTCCCCTCTCTTGTTTTCCTCGTGTATGAAACCACTCGACTCCCATAATAGGCTTAAAAAACCACCTAAGCCGTCAACCATGGCACTTGAAACTATCCCAAGTTTACTGCTGCTGCTCATATATCTGCATATAAGTCTCAGAAAGGGCAACCATCTGGGGAAGAGTTTCTGAAACATGAAGATCCTGCATCTCATACCTGAAAACATTTCCAGATGTTAGCCCATACATACAGTTCCATTTTCTCTTAGTTTACATTTATGCCAATAAGTATAGAATAGACTCACCATAATTCTTCAGACTTTCTCTGTACAAATACCCTGTATGAACCTTCACCAGGTTTGCCATCATGAACAATGTTGGCGATCAAATCATACTTTGAACGCATTCTCTCATTCTCTTTTGGGGTTGACAAGGGGATGTAGTCTTTCAATTCAAGGTTCTTCACAGGAAAGTTGACTGCAATAGGAATTACATCAGTTGGCAAAACGTTGCAGTTGATCAGGCAAGGATCCATGGCACACTATAGGCCTTAAATGATAATTCAAATAAAAATAATTCCAGAAACATATAATCTCACCTAAAGTTGGATTCTTTTCCACAAAGAAGTTGTTCTTGGTAAATCGCTGCATGTGGAGAATAAGATACTGCGGTAATCGGGTGACTCGATACCTCATCCTGGCTATGCGAGGTCGGACCACTTCAGTCACAGTGTCCCCATCAAATTTCTTCAAAATATTGAACAGTGGAACCTAAACCATAACGCACAAGCTTCAAAAAAATAATATAAAAACATTTTTAAAATAAAACTCAAAAAATTCTCATCATCAATGCTCTCTTCCCCACATACTATTTCTGGAATAAGGTGTAGTGATAGCATAGGTGTGCTATAAACATTTAAACAACGCACAATGCAAGACTGATGAGACATGCATAAAGTAAAGGGCATGCTTTTGCATCATTCAGGGCTCAGTTTAATATTCAAGAAAAATGGAGAACCAAAATGCTTGGAACAAAGAACAGTTGCTGTGTTTCTAATTTGCAATTAGACCTTGAGTAACTATATACATTATAGAATAGAAGCACAAAGACAGACTGAACCCCCCATATTTAGATAATAAAAAATCAACTAGTCTCCATACAGACTAATAAAAATAAGGAATATATCCATCTTAACAGTCTACACATTTGTCACTACCTAAGATATATAATTACATAGACTCCCCAAAGCAATCTAGTTACCTAGTCCACAAGTTGCGAACATAGAGGCAATGTATGTAATTGAAGCAAATTCCAACATGTTTTTATTCAGAAACATAGACATGGAAATTATAAGAAAGACATTAAAACCAATAAAAAAAAGGCAATTAAAGAATGAACTTCCAACTCACTAATTAGACATATGTACCTGGGGTATGATATTTTTTTCCATAACATCTTTGAAAAGAGGTGGTGGGGGCAAATCCAATCCAAGCATTAAGAAAGGCATTTTGTACCTTTCCTTGACAATGCCATTATTTTCAGTCACAACATCTGTATTCTGGTCATCACCATTTTCTTTCTTCTCAATACCTTTCTTAGGAATCTCCTTCACAACCTCCAGTTCCCCCTATCAGCACAGAACATTATATTTAGTCTAAAGAATACTGCAAGTTAAGTTGCAGCAACAGCAATACAATGAAGAAAGTAGATAAAGAATAAGAAAGAAAACCTGAAAGCACTCATAGATGATGCTGCTATCTTTCTTCGAAGTTCTAAGATCTGCATGCAGTGTATTAAGCAGCCATGACATGAATTCAACTGGGTCAGATTGCGCTCCTATTCGAAACCGTTTCTTACTGGCTTTCATAACTGCCTGCAGGAACTCATGTGGGCTCACCTGTAGACATTAAAGATTTGACACATGTGAACTATTCTTAACAACAAAACCTAGAGACCAAAATATGGAGTCAACAAGGTCAAACCTGTCCTTTGAAGTTCCGTGCATGCCATATCTTTCTCGTGAGCTCCCCAAATCGATGAACAAGCGGAGACTTGCAATGTTGATAATTCTTAGGGATGAGGAAGAAGTTTCTCAGTGGAGTGACTCTCATTAAAGATTGAATTGTGACATTGACAAAATCAGTCTCCTTAATGTTATTGAGCCCCACCTGTTTTTTGAAAATTAAGAAAACACAGGTAACAATAATTAGGACCCAAAATTAACACCTTGCTAGAAATTGTTAAGACGTAAGTTGTTATGGAAGTGTATCCATCTGAGAGATCAATCACAAAATATATCTCCCTCGAACGCATGAAAAGACAGTAAATGTGGTTCAACATAGGCTTGTCTAACCTTACAGATGAGAAAGAATCTAAAAAAACATAGAGAATTACAAAGATGTGAGAATACTGCAGTAAACCAAAAACCATATTACCTAAGTGCTGAAATCATGCTTACTGGTATACTCCCACACAAGTCTATCAAAACTGTGAAACAACTCTATCATAAGTCTAATTGTTGGCCAGCCACGTAATAGATTCAAAATAGCTCATTACTTATTTGGCAAGGAATAAAGATCATTCTGTCCCAAGTAACTTAAATAGGAAATCTATAGTATTGACCAAGTCAATTAGGAATTTGAAACATAATATTGAACTCATATGAATTGACAACAGCAGCAATAGAAGCATATATGGAATCTTGTGCAAGTAAGAACAAAAATGGAATCTCCTTCACAACCTCCAGTTCCCCCTATCAGCACAGAACATTATATTTAGTCTAAAGAATACTGCAAGTTAAGTTGCAGCAACAGCAATACAATGAAGAAAGTAGATAAAGAATAAGAAAGAAAACCTGAAAGCACTCGTAGATGATGCTACTATCTTTCTTTGAAGTTCTAAGATCTGCATGCAGTGTATTAAGCAGCCATGACATGAATTCAACAGGGTCAGATTGCGCTCCTATTCGAAACCGTTTCTTACTGGCTTTCATAACTGCCTGCAGGAACTCATGTGGGCTCACCTGTAGACATTAAAGATTTGACACATGTGAACTATTCTTAACAACAAAACCTAGAGACCAAAATATGGAGTCAACAAGGTCAAACCTGTCCTTTGAAGTTCCGTGCATGCCATATCTTTCTCGTGAGCTCCCCAAATCGATGAACAAGCGGAGACTTGCAATGTTGATAATTCTTAGGGATGAGGAAGAAGTTTCTCAGTGGAGTGACTCTCATTAAAGATTGAATTGTGACATTGACAAAATCAGTCTCCTTAATGTTATTGAGCCCCACCTGTTTTTTGAAAATTAAGAAAACACAGGTAACAATAATTAGGACCCAAAATTAACACCTTGCTAGAAATTGTTAAGACGTAAGTTGTTATGGAAGTGTATCCATCTGAGAGATCAATCACAAAATATATCTCCCTCGAACGCATGAAAAGACAGTAAATGTGGTTCAACATAGGCTTGTCTAACCTTACAGATGAGAAAGAATCTAAAAAAACATAGAGAATTACAAAGATGTGAGAATACTGCAGTAAACCAAAAACCATATTACCTAAGTGCTGAAATCATGCTTACTGGTATACTCCCACACAAGTCTATCAAAACTGTGAAACAACTCTATCATAAGTCTAATTGTTGGCCAGCCACGTAATAGATTCAAAATAGCTCATTACTTATTTGGCAAGGAATAAAGATCATTCTGTCCCAAGTAACTTAAATAGGAAATCTATAGTATTGACCAAGTCAATTAGGAATTTGAAACATAATATTGAACTCATATGAATTGACAACAGCAGCAATAGAAGCATATATGGAATCTTGTGCAAGTAAGAACAAAAATCAGTACCATTCCAGGAAGGTAATCAGAACCATCAAGTGCCCTAGACCATTGCTTGTTTTTGTCAATCTGCTCAACTTGTTCCTCAGTAAACCTGCATATAAAGAACCAAATGAATTCAAATCCTTAAAAGGATACCCAAGGAAAACTAGAAATATAAACAATATAAATCAAACCTTGGGTTCAGAACATGTCTAATGTCATCCAATGACGGGTCACTGATTTCATATCCATCCGGAAGGCAATATACTTTCTCTGTTCGAAGATTGATATAAACATGGTGTCCAGCTTCAAGGCTATGCGTATATGCATGGGACTTCTTCCCTCTTCCTTGGTAATACTTCCCACAAACTAAACATGCATACACATTCAAATTTGACAGAGACAGAGAACAAAACTTCTCAAAATCAAAATCCAAAACCTGGAGAAAGCAAAATCAAGCAATCAGTATCAATACAGTGGATGCTTTTATAAGCATAATATACAGACAAGCTGGAATGCCATATTGTAACAACTTAGAATAGTAATATACCTGGCGATTAACAGCGTCAAGATATGGACAATCCCTCCTAACCTCAATTTCACGGCTCCGCCTGTAAAGTCCTTGTTCAAGATCATCATCATCATCATCATCTTCTTCTTCTTCTTCTTCTTCAACTTCAACCCCACTTTTTATATCCCTTTGATTATCACCACCATCCCCTCTATAGCCATCAACAGGTGGCCTTCTCTGGTTGTCCTCGTCATCCTCATCGCCGTAATTAAAACCAGGAAGAAGGGAGCCTTCAAAGGCAGGTGGAGGTGGTGAAGAGGAAGGAGATGAATGCCCATTCCGTTTTTGCCTCTTTGGGTCAGATTCAAACCCTTCCGCGTTCACTCTAGCATCATCTTCATGTTCCATCTTACGGTTCATTCTCTTGACCCAGCTCAAATCTCACTGTTTCTACAATAATACCGGAGCTTACACCAACTGAGCGTCACTCAATTCTTCAAACGATTCTCAAATTAGGGAAGAATCTCGGAAACCCTAGAAGCATATAACTCAGCCGTCAATAGAAAGAGAGAAAACAGTTCTAGAGTAGAAATCTGTAAAATATAACAAACGCAAGAAAATAGTTGACCGAAGAATTTATTATTATATTCCGAGTTTTAAGAGCAAGGAAATAGCATAATGCTCCGTTTGGTTACCGAGAAAACGCGGGAAAGTGAAAGAAAAAAACAGTGTAATGTTATGTGTGTTAGGATTTTGCTTCGTTTTCGCGTCCGAAATAATTTGAAGCTATCTTGGAAATAGCTCGTGATTTGAAAATGCATATAAAATTAGGTCCGTGAAGGAGGTAGAATTACCTGAATCAGTGTGGTGTTTTGCAGTTTGGAGAAGTAACAGACCGCCTTTCGATCCTTCGAAGCAAAACTGGAAGAGAGAGAGTCATAGGAGATGAGACCAACCAAGAAAGGAAGGCTTACAGATTGGGCCTTGCACAACCGTCGCCTTAAATTCGGCCTCATACTTATTAGGCCCAAAATACAAATATCTAGGCCCATTTACTTTATTTTTTTTAAATTTTTTTATTTTGCTAAAACATTTACCAATTTTATAATTTCTTGAAAATAAAATAAAAGCATATGACTGGCTAAATGAATTACCATCAAGGGATCAAAGACTAGAGTGAGTATAAAACCAAGGTGGTTGGTGTGAGTGGTTCGGCACTCTCATTCCTTAAGAGAATGTCAGGGGTTCGATCCTTACTCTCGTATAGAGTCATCACTTTGGCCAAAACTTTAACCCTTACGGGTTGACTCGGTGTGAGCGGGAATTAATCTGGATTGTGGTTAAGGCTTAAAGGTGCCACTTATAGTTGGGGCCCATCCAGGACCACCTCGTGGTTCAGACAAAAAAAAAAAAAAAAAAAAGACTCGAGTGAGTATTATTTCGGTAACATATTTTAAAGTTGGGTAATATTGTGCATAAAAAATTGTGAAAGAATGAAGAAAGATTACAGTATTTCGCTTATTTTTTTCACTAGAAAAGTCCACTTCAAGATCCATTTGCTTATCTTTGCCTTTGCTCTAATATTGATCTTGGAATTTTATATTATTTTTTCGGCTGAATAATGTTCTTTTATTGTGTCTGGCCAAGATGATTTTTAAGTAGCTCGTCTTGAAAAGGCCATCATGATAATGAGGGGGTTGTGAGAGAGGGAGGGGTAGCGTGCATCATCAACGGAGGAGAAGCGAGCAAAGAAAAGAAAAAAAGGGGTCAAAATTAACATGGAAAGGGCTGTAAGAAAGAAACCCTGCACTGCTTTTCAACTTTAAAGGTGTCCCTTGCCCCACAGGAATAATTAAAATGGTCAAGCCACTCGAGTAAGAGCAAGCTTCAATTAACATCACATAAACAATAATCCCAGAGAAAGAAAAGCTCAATTTATTAACCAAATACCTACCAAAAGAATTAACCATTCCCTTCTACTTTCCCCCCTTCCCCTCTCTTTTTCAAAGGATCCTCTCCTTCTCCTCATTGTTTAAGAAGTTTGAAACATAAACAAGGCATTCGAATTTTTTTGACATGTTCACAATGAAGCAGATCTCTCAGCTTGAAAAACAATGGACTGTTACTACAAACACAACAAAACTGCAGTTGTTTTACTCCGATTGCCAGTCCTTCCGAATGTCAAAGGTGTAATTGATCTCCAAGTAGCACTTGTTGTCATCATCAACAAACTGGACCACAAAGAAAAAGGAAATCACAAGATGAGACTAAATCCAAAACTCGAAGGTGAAGCTATTTATTTATTAGAAAATTAGTTTGAAATCTGAGGTTGAATTTGAAATCTGAAGTTCATCATGCACACAATCATTCATGGGATGCAATTAGTAGATAACTCAGGTAATAACATTAATATCAACAGAACGAAAAATTTATGAACACATGCATGATGGTTGTGTATGTAACAAATCTATCAGTTTATGGGCATATACCGCTTTCTCTCGAATTGTGTGGTCTAATCTGAGTGGAAGTTAACATCAAGCACTGATTTAACTTACCTTGCTTCTAGCTGAATAAGATCCCCTTGCAAATATGCCAGATGGGGTTGTGTCCTCAGGCAACACATGTGTGTAAGGCTCTGACTGTGGGCTAAAGGTTCCGAGCATCTCTTTTGTGCTATCAACTGCAAAAAGGATCCGTACGTAAGAAGGAAAACATCCGATCCCAGCTTCATTATAAGGCTAATCTATCCTGTTACATAATTTGAATGAGAGAGAGATAGAGAGAGTGTACCTTTTACAGCAGTTTTCCAGACTGCGTTAGTGTATTTGAGACCTGAAACAATGTTATTGCTGACCTGGAAAGTGAACTCAAGGCTGTAACGGCTACCTTCTTTCAAAGTAAACCACAAGCCCTTGGGATTTCCATTCTCAGGAATAGGAAGAACTATGTCAGATCTATTAGGGGATTTAATTGCAAGGCTCAGGATCTTAACATCTGGTTCTAGAGTTTCTACAGAAACACAGAGAAACAAGGAACACTTAGGGAGAAATGAAACAGTACAAATATCTATTGTACTGAATGTTGAAGATACACCAATAAACTGCTAAGATATAAAGTAGAAGCATGCAAACAAAATCGCTTCTAAATTCCAAAGATTCAACTTTAGTTAGGAGAAACTGCATGCGGTTTCTGGTATGACAAGACTTATGACAATAAGATGAGGCATGAGGGCCAAATTTACCAAAAACAAAGGCTTTTCAGAGCATAGAACAAGTTTGACCTCTGATTCGCAATAGAACTCTTACCAAGTGACAAGATATATATATATATATATTGCAAGAGAGAATAGGATTTTAGTTGATAGAAAGTACTTTCGCATGCCTTCTGCAAGTGACAGAACTAAAGTTTTGAACCTCAGCAGTGAAATGAAGGGGAAAATTCATAGTTTAAACATTTTTTCTGCTCCATTTTTTCATTGATAAAACGAACTTAAAAGCAAAAGCCATTGACTCGTTACAATGCTTACCTCCAACAGAATTAACATCCACACTCCCAAGAAGCTGTTCCTTCCACCTCCTTAAGCTCTCATCGTCCTAAAACCTCAAATGATCACCAAAACAAACAACATTACACAGATATAAAACTAGAAGGCCGTTAGAAAGAGAGGGACAAAGGAGAACAAATTATGAAAAGAAAGAAGAATTGAAAATCAAACCTTATCCTTCTCAATGTGTTCTTTGAGAGTGCACTGAGGACCCAACTCAATTTTCTTTACTTCATCATCGTCATCATCATCCTCAGTTACGTACATGGAACTCTCACTCGGTTCTCTAACCAACCCTGTGGATGATTGATCCACGTCAGTAGCCGTTTTAGCTGTCTTTGCTTCTGAAACTTCAGCGCCAGTCTCATCATCCAAACCCATGTTTTTGGAACTTGAAATCTCTCCAACAGCCAAAGACATCAACAGCCCATCAACCCAACAAAAAAGAAAGATCAAAGGGCACAGAGAATGTAGACCCAATGGCCAAGTATAAGTGCAAGTAAAAACCAGAACAAAATGGCAAAAAGCAAAAGAACACGGCAAAGACCCACTTGGAAGAAGAATCTCTGTGAGAAAACAACAAAAAATGAGAGAGCCCAATAAAAAATGAGGGAATTTGAGTATAACAAGAAAGGAAGGAAAGAAGGACTAATTGGGTCAAAGAAACCTAGAAAGAAAGCTAAACAGAAAACCAGGGAAACCCAACAAGGATAAAACTTGCAGCAAGAAAAAGACTGTTTAGGCAGAGTTCAAGCAGAGAGGAAAAGGTCGTGTGGTGATCCGAAATTGAGTCTTTTCCATGGAAGAAAAAAGAAGAGAGAGAGAGAGAGAGAGAGAGAGAAACGGGTGGCGAGATCGTGAGGGTCACTCTTGCTGCACTAGGTTCCACGAAGACCAAGATTCGAGGAGTGCTTTTCTTTCAATTTAGTTTGAAAACTCAGAAACGAACACATCAGATGAGACAGCCTAGCCTAAAGATTGGGTGGACCAAAGCTGCACTTTGACCCCTTCTTATGGGTTTTTATCTTTCTTTTAACTAACCATGCTCTGCTCTCTGCTCACGCCTTCCCAGAATTGTAGCTTCTGGTAAAACATGAAGAAGAAGAAAAATAAACATAAAAGGTGAAGGGTTTATGAGTCTTACTTTAGCATCTGAACGTTTCCACTATAGAGCTCCACAAGCACAATGCTATATAAAATTCAAAGGCAGAGCATTTCCAGATAACATAACATGTCTGCATGACATGTATTTTCAATTAATTTGGTTGGTGGTGAAGCTTTGATGATGCATTCTAATTTCTTTGGTACGATATTATTTCTCCACCAAAAATAATTAAACAATCCAATGTCGAGGAGTCCAGCAATGATAGCATTATTATTGCACCCTATTATAGAAGTTTTGGTCGATGGTTTATATTAGGCCAATTATCAACACCCTTGTAATATCTCTATTGATCAACTAGCTATTTATTTAGCGGTACTTCTCTTCCTAATACAGGAAAAAATCTCAAGTTCGAATTCTCCATCCTATATTAACCAAATAGCTTTTAATCCAATAGTACTTCTCTTCTTAATACTGAAAAAGTGCTAAGGTCGAATTCCCCCACTTCATTGCTGTTAGTGTCATAACAGTTGTGGCTGTCTGCTGTCAAACATTAAGTGTTGCTAGGTTGTTCATAGTAGGAAATACAGCTCAGATGATTGTGAAATCAGCCAACCAGACTAACCCAATTTACGCATGGTGATGGTCAGTTCAAGCCCAGAACCTTTAAAAGTTTTGATGCATACAACTATCTCATCCGCTATTGACGTGACGACGATGGCTTAATTTCAGCTCTCATTATCAATATTCATGGCGGAGACCACGACATTTCTGGAATTTCATGTGATTCAAAATTTGAATGCACAAGTTGTTCATTACCGTTCAGAAATCAACGGTTCAAAACTACTCTAGGGCCAAAATTTCGTGCATCCTAGATTATCCAAACTTCTGTGCCTAAATCTGGACAGAACATTAAAATCTGGTGGCTGCAAATTTACCATGCCCATTTTCTTTTTTCTTTTTTTTCTTATTAAGAAAAATAATAATAAAGGAGAAAAGACTGCAGTCAATAGGTTAAAAAATGTTGACAATGCTAACAAATACACAAAGATATGGACAATTTTTGTCTGTTTTTACAAGGGGAGTTTGATTATGTGTCCATAATAAAAACCAACCTATGCATCTCCAAATATCATCGAAAAGTAAAATGGACTGATTCATTATACTGTCTACATACGAGGTTGAAACTCCCTCAATCAAATAATAATTTATGTGCAGTCAAAAGTTCCGTTGAGAATGCTAGGGATTGTAAAGCTAGCATACAAAAATCCTAGGTTGATAATAGGTTGGGCATTGAGGCAATTCAAACACATCCTGGACTTCAGATACAAAAAACATAGGATACAAAAATAGTGGCCAAATTCTCAATGCATGTTGCGAGTGATCTCAAACCTGAAACAAAATTATCACCCACTTCCCCATTTTCTCAGAACACTTTCTTTAGCAGAGACACTACTGTAGGCTTCATTCTTCGAGATATTATCAAAAACAACCTGACCATCTGGTCCTGTCTTCCTTAAGATTTTAGAAGTTATGAAAGCGAACACATTTCTTGTCCCTCGCAAGGCATACAGTAACGGATTGAAGATGACAGCAAGCATCAATTCTCCCTTTGCAATTATGAGATACTAAAAAATAAAGAATAAGATTATGAGAGAGAGAGAGAGAGAGAGAGAGAGAGAGAGAGAGAGAGAGAGAGAGAGTATATATTTACAACATGATGGTATACAGCTGAATTTAGAAAAGAAACAAGGAAATGCTTACCATCAGGATAATACCCAACACAGCAAGACTTGCTTGTTGTGCTTCTCGCCAGAAATGGTCACCATTCGACCATCCAAACCATCCGCGCCACCCAAACCATCCCCCTCCACCAGCACTACCGCCTCCACCCACCTCCTCTCTTCTCTTAATTTCTTTGTCCCATTTCTCAAATTCACTTTTTTTCCCACCAAGTGCACCTTCTAATGCTTTCCTGGCTTGATCCTAGAAGAACAATAGAAATGGCAAAGTTAAATTCATCTGCGCAAAAGAAACCAGCATTTAAACTATATCATGGCATTCTGCATTCAATAAAACCAGATGAAATGAGGGGCCAAGAGACCAAACGAACTCCTATGCTCAGTAACTATATCTGATATATATTGGTATCTGTCCTAATGCTGATGTGCATGTGTCAAGTTAGACCTTATATTGGTCCTATACCTAGAACGACTGATTATGTTCAATGACAACCATACTACTATCATATCCTTAACCTTTAGTGAACCGTAAAGGTATTATCAGGCAAAACCAAAGTTGTTTGCTCCAATTGTTTGGATAAGGCTTTTGTGCAAGCTTAGTAGAACTACCTTCTGTGTGCAGCTTTTAACTCCATGAAGGACAAAAATGCTCAGCAAATTACGAAAGAGAAAGAGAAAGAGAATCCAACAGTAAACCGGCATGTGCCCAAGTATTCTTCTAGAAGGATCAACTGCCTAATATTCATCTGTATTCTTATTTACAAAGCAAATAATCCACATTTTATACTTGTAAGAAGTAAATTCTCCAACACATTGAACACTCAAACTACAAAATACTCTACTGTAATTCAAAATTCAAAACAATGGGTGAATGTGTGAAGCTCCTAAAACTCACTTTCCTGAAGCATTTAAAGAATGAACAATTTTTTGATAAATTTGAACTTCAAATGAAGCATTCCACACCTTACTTAACTGATTATGCAAATCTCCAAACAGCACAAGGCGAAGTAGAGACAAAGAATTTATTGCCTACCAACACTACATGCCCAGTTAAACCTAATTGCTCAATTTATCTCAATATACATATACCCACATATTGAGCTGCCAAACGAGGAACTTGGGTTATTTTTCATCTCTTGACAAATTTGAAACATGAAAATTTTCATTTCGCAGCATAACATAAAATAGGAAAAGCACGCAACAAAAGAAGAGAAACTGAGTTCAAATTACGAATTTTAGGACCTCTTTGCGATTATCTGAGAAAAGGCAAGAGAACCTGCCGCGGCATTTGAGCTTGAACAGCAGAGCAGTCCAATCTTGGGTTGTTTCATTTTGACGGGAACTAGTAGTTGGCAGTGGACGAGACGACGACGAGTGAAGTAGGATTTGGGATGGCCGGATTAGGTTAAGAACCAGCGTCATCTTCGCATTTCCCACACCAAGTCTTTCCCTTGTATTAAACGCTGGGGAACCTTTAGAATCAAACGATGCGTTTAGTTCTTTAATTCGCACAGACTATGAGAAGTGATTTTTAAAATAATTTGGGAAGCCCAACCCGTTTTGTAAATTATCAAAAAATCACTTATTATTAAAAATTATTGTAAAAGAAAACTATAAAGGAAATCAGCTAATGATGTGCTTTCATTTTCTAATTATGTGAGAATCAGTTTTGAAGAGGCGTTGAGTTTAATGATTATGTGAGAATCATTTTCTGATTATACTGGAATCAATGCCAACAATACTTTTAACAAAAACTTTATTAACCGCCAAACTGTATTATCTCACATCTGATTTCTCTTACAGCAAATCTAACATCGATTATTATCACAATATAGGTAAGGCCAGTTTGGTATTGCTTATTTGGAGTGATAAGTGATATTTTTAAAATTTTGAAAAACTCAGCCCGTTTGGTATACTATGAGAAATTCACTTATTGTTAAAAATTGTTGTGAGATAAAACTAAGAGAAAGCAACTAATGAGGTGCTTTCATTTTTTGATTACGAATGCATCAATTTCGAAGAGATGTTGGGTTTAATGATTATGCGGGAATCATTTTATGATTATGCGAGAATCAGTACCAATAACACTTTTAATAAAAAGTTTACCAAATGTCATATTCTTTTATCTCACAGCTGATTTCTCTTACCTCAAATTTGATAACAATTATTCTCACAGCACAATAATGCCAAACTAACCACAAATATCGTTTGTTTTTTGTAGTTATTTTGTAATCTAATGTCGAAAATAATGATGAGGCTTTTTTTTTCATTCATCTTATGAACAAAATAAAAATAATAATAGAATTTTACTAACTAATTTTTTATTTTACAATACTGAAAGATGTTTCAAATTCAATTTGTTCTTCAATAAATAAACAAAATGTTCATAGATCAACAACACCTTTAATTTGGATGTGAATTAACGTATAGCCATTTTACGTCTTATCACTTTTTTTTTTAACAAAATTTTTATAAAGAAGATCACATATCAATTCATTGCAAACATCTCAACTAATTTTGACTATCTCTTGATGTTGAAATGAAAGAGATAGTCAAAATTAGATGAGGTATAATTATAAAACATGTTTGTCATGCATGGTTGAGAATGTTGTCATTTTCAATCTCTTTATTTTGTTAGGAATAAATGAATTATTTGTCTCCATCCACCAATTGAATGCTTCATTATATGAGCTCCAATTCAAAGTTTTGTGTGTGTCTTGAAACAAACATAATCATCCATGTAAAATTTGGTTAAGAATCAAATCAAGCTATTTCTATTCCCGCAACACACCAAGCATAAAATTGTTAAATTTTTCGTTCTGCTCACTATATGCATAGCCGGGAAAGCCAATACTCAACTATGGAGAAAGTGTCCCTTACAAAACACCACACTATTATCCATCTAAATTAGGTATTGTGTCTGAAAAGTAACATCCCATCAATCCCACAAGTATATGAGTCGATTTTGATGAAAAATGTATGTAAGTGCAGTAATAGTTTTATCTTAATTGTAGATTTATCATAATGAATTTACAAGCGTAAACGACTAACTGTAGCATTCTTAAATTGTTTATCCATATATATATATATAAGTAAACCTATATTCTATGTGTGTACATTTGTGTTTTATAATTTTACTTTTAGCTCTCATTCGGATGGATTTTAAAGAACGAGCAAATTTTTTGTTGTTGTTGATTGTCATACCATAATTATGCTTTATTTTTTGTGTTGTTTGCAATAGTCCTTGTTTTGAATTGCGTTCTTCATGTCTCTCTATCTTTTTTTTTTTTGGTCAATCATGTCTCTCTATCTTGTTTTTGCATAAACTGCGTTTCATCTGTGTGCCAATCATTAACAAAATATATAATCTCTCAAGTATCATTGAACTAGCTGTAGTGCATTGCAAGTGATCACATAAAGAGAGGTAGGTGGTAGGTAAAGAAACATGGTCAGTCTGATAGATAATTGAAAGTGCTTTCTCAACCTTTGGATCAAGCGATCACATTCAACAGTAGTTGACCAAACCCACCAATTCTTATCCAACGGTCTATAGTCAAGCCGAGAAATCATATTTTGTTGACCACATTTGCCCTTACCTTCTCCACGAAGCAGACTCTCATTCGTCAGAGAAAAAGATCGCAAAGTTGCAGAGGTCTAGTCAGGACTCAGGGCATCATCGTAATTCAATCAACCAGTTTGATTCTGTAGCTGTTGACAGTGTTTACCTCTCTTTATCTTTATCTTTAATTTGAAAAGTGAAACAAAAAGAGGAACAAAAGAAAACCAGCTGCCACTTTCCCACGTGACATATTTACCCCGAATCTTTTACCCATAATGGGATGGATAGGGTGAAATTCAAAAGGGTACTTTCGTCTTCTGGAAACCGGACGGGGAGATCGAGCTCAACAGTTTGAAACTCTGAGTGGATAGAACAATGGGCTTTACCGACTTTTCATAATAAAATCAACGTGAAGGGATATTTTCGTCATTTCAGCGTTATAAAGAGAGCGGTAAAGAGTAGAGAGAGACAGATAGAGGAAGAGAGAGACAGAGAGAAGAAGAGAGAGAGCAGGCTGAGAGAGAGAGAGAGTGAAGAGCGTTTGGTTTCCGTTTATTCTGTTAATATATGTGTGTGCACCAGCATGGTGTCGGACCAAGAAATAGCGGAAGGTGTGGAGACTGTTCTCCGTCAATCAGGCCCTAACGACGTCACCTCCGTAAACGGTGTCGTTCAGCAGCTCGAGGCCAAGCTAGGGTTAGACCTGTCCCACAAGGCTGGCTTCATTCGGGACCAGATCAGCTTCCTCCTCCGCCCGTACGCTCAACCGCAACCCCAACACCAACCTCCGAAAGACCATTTTGCCCTCCACACCAACCCCCAGCACCATTACCACCACCACCCTCAATTCCTCCCCCAACAATTTCCTCCCCATTTTGCCCTCCACCCCCACCACCGCGCCCCCCCCCCCCACAGCTTCCAGCAGCCGCTGCCGCCTCAGCAACTGCGGCCTCAGGCTCAGCTGCAGCCTCCCGCTGTGAAGCACGAGGCCTTGGTGCAGAATGCCACTAAAGTCGCCCCAGAAACGCCCAAAGAGAGGTTTGGATTTTGTTTTCAAAATTTCAAATCAGAAATGGTGAATTTTTAGGGTTTTACTTTCCTTTAGATTGCAAAGGCTGCGTTTCTATGAAATGTAAGTGGTGCACGTTTATAGAGTTTCCAATTAGCAATATTTCGTTAATGGCCGTTTTGAAAGTTTTGTACTTTTCCTGTTTCCTGCTAACCAAGTTTCGCTAAATTGCATATTTTAATTGCAAGTACTTGCTATTTGAAATTTTTATGGTTTCCCTTTTTGGGTAAAACTAAGACTGATAAGGTCAAATTGCCGGCGTGTATCGCTTTGTGTGAATGAGAAATTTGAAAATTGTGTGTAACAAATAAAGAAACATATGGAAATTGGCATTTAAACCCTGATATTACTGTAATGGGAAAGTTTTAACCTTTTTGTTACCGTATTGTCTTTCATATAAAAGTCAAAACTGTTATTGTTTGTCCTTACTCCCAAAGCATGAAATACAAATCAACTAGTACTTACTTACTCTTGCAGTTGCAGTCTCTAATTAGATTATAAAAAGTGCTTGACTTTTCAATGTATGAAAAACTATAAGTTTGAGCTTAGCATAAAATCAAATTTGCTTATTAAAGAGCTGGCTTAGCATGGTCTTACTAATTAAACTAGTAAGCTTATCTGTTGGGTTGGGCTTTAACATTTTTGCATAAATTTGGAGGATTACTGCTTCAAAGTTCCATTATATTAAATGCTTCTTCTTTTCTTAAAATTTTAAATAGGGTAGTTTTCTCTGTCTCAGAATTAACTAGTTGGAAAAGCTCAAATCTTTATCCTTTTGTTTTGTAGTTGTAAGTAATCTATTATGATTCAGTGCTTTATTCATAATGCAATAAAATGACCTGGCATGTTTGTGTCGGTCATAATTTTTTTGCAGTGCTCCGGCTTCTGGAACCAAGAGAAGAGGTGGGCCAGGGGGTCTTAACAAAGTCTGTGGTGTCTCACCTGAGCTTCAGGCTGTTGTTGGTGAACCTGCCTTGCCAAGGACTGAGGTTATTACTCCCAAATCAACCCAGATTCTCTTTTTATGCTAACTTTCCAATGATGTGGATTAAGTTTTTGTGCGTAAATCTTAATGCGTGTTTGTGGGTGTACATTAAGTTTTTGTTTTGCGTATTTCAGATTGTAAAGCAGCTCTGGGCATACATAAGGAAGAACAACCTCCAAGATCCAAGTAATAAGAGAAAGATAATTTGTGACGATGCCTTGCGTGTGGTATTTGAGACAGACTGTACTGACATGTTCAAGATGAATAAGCTGCTAGCTAAACATATTATACCCCTTGGACCTAACAGTACGTCAACATTGTGCATATTGCTACACATAGGGTGTAATGATATCTTTGATTTTATGTATAACATTTCTCCTGCATATATGCAGAGGAGTCAACTCAAGCTAAACGATTGAAGTTAGAGGCCAAGTCCACCACTGATAGTACTGAACCTCAACCTCAACCACAACCACAACCACAACCTGGTTCCCCTACTGTAGGAATATCTGAAGCACTAGCTAAGTTTTTGGGCTTTGGAGGAAGGGAGATGCTCCTATCTGAGGCAAGAAGCCTTGTTTGGGAGTATGTAAAGGCTAACCGTTTGGAGGTAGGATCCTGCTGCACAATTTTGTACCTTCTCCGTCTCGTAGATCTAAGATGATTATTTTATTGCAGACATCGTACTTTCGTCCATTATTCCATCATCAGTCACAAGTTGGATTGATTTCTTCTAGTGAATGCTGTATTTGTCCTTACCTTTATATTGGCTTAAGAGCTACTTCACTTGGTTTCGACCTTTTTTTCCCGATCATAGTGCATTTGGAACAAAGACTTATGATGGTGCTGTTCTTGTATTTCCACAGGATCCTTTAAATACTACGGTGATATTATGTGACGCAAAGCTCCATGAGCTTCTTGGATGCGAAAGCATTTCTGCAGTGGGGTTGCACGAGATGTTAGATCGCTATCACTTGTTCAAACAATTGTGATTTCTGGTAGTGTTGACTGGTTAGTATAAGTTCCATGTGTTTACTCCATCTCATTTCTTTCTTAAATTATTTATGTTAGTTTATTTGCCTGTCTCTGTAGATGTATCTTTTGCTAAAGTTTTTCTGCCTATGGCCTGCTCTGATCTGTCCTAAACAAGTGACGGAGTGGTTTGTTTATTCTTTTGCAGGTGCATGGGGACCTTTGCCATCTGGTCTCTTCTGATGGTAGAAAAGATAGGAAAGAAGCTTTTTTTTTCTCTTTGTTTATTTCTTTTTTGTGCATTGACGTGGTTAGGTGTCTTACATGTCGTGGTTATTTATATATAGAATTGCTATATGCTGTGGGTTGATGGCAAGTTTCTTGGTTTATGCCATTGCCCGGGGTTTAGTTCTTTTTAGTTGTCTTCTCCTAACCCAGAAACTGTGACAGAAGATAAATGCTCTGTACATCGTGGAAGGACCCCTTGCATTTTCTTAGATGGCTGGCAGTAAGTGTTAGTTTTGACTGCAGCTTTTGTGTATCTTGTTACATGGCAGTAAACTCCTCTTTTAACTCCGACTTGCTTTATTTGCTTTCTGGCTTTGTCGATGGTAAGTATATGTCAGACATTTTAAATTGAATAATACTGAGTACTGATGATGGAGACAGGACTTTGTATGGGTGGCCTGAAAGTTTGAAAGGTTTCACCAGCAATACAAGAGTCCTTGCAGAATGAGCACCTTTTTTCATATCAAATTTTCGACTTTACCATCACACGGTGGAGTGGAGAAGGAATTGCAAATTGTTAATTTGTATGAAAATAGTACATTAAATCAAAACCCACCAAGGTCTGCTCTGCAGCACCTGCGCCTCGGGTGGGTGATGGTGGCTTAATGCAAGATGAGTTTCAGTAAAATCAGAATGGCGGCCTTGATGAGCAGGAGGAGGAAAGCCAACACAAGTCTGTTTGCCTTGCCCTTGAACACTGCATTGAACCCAATCTTATCCAGTACAGCCGTCATAATTCCCATGAGTTTCTGCACAAGTGATATATAAGAAGACAAAGAAAACAATAAAAGGGACGCATTTCTGAAGTGGAAATAAGAAGTTGCGAGATGCTTGCTTTGCTTACCAGTCTAAGGGGTTCAATATGGAGGAGTGGTTCCATGAACATCTCCACATTTCTAAAAGAAAAGAAGATGTTTATTATATATATGTTATTGAAAGCGGGGCCAAAACTAATAATTCAGACTCAGAGAGAGGGTATGCAATTTGAAGCAGTACCTTAACATCACCTTGCCTCTGTAGATTTGACAAATATGGAAGCTAAAGCCCTTTCCCAGAGGCACATGCGATTTTTTCCACTCTGCATATCAATCCAACTAGCTACTTGTTGTTTCCCATTTGTATACTATCATCTTAATTTAAAGAATGAAAAAAGAAGTTGTTGTGTGATATATAAATACCTAAGCTCCACTGAATTCCGACATTCATTCCATCGTGCAATGTCGGTGTTACAACAAATTCAATGTTATTCCCCAAGTTTCGGATTAGATATGAGAAAAAATCCAATACTTGCTGCAACAGTTGTAGTCACAGTTCCCAATTAAAAACAGCAAGAAAGAAAAGAAGAACTGCAGCTGATTACGATTGAATACATTGTTTAATCATGGTTTGTTTAACACGTAATGCATCAAGAAAGATGACTTTTACTGCATAAGCGTTCGTTATATATTATATATAATATTGAAATCAAGCAGTATATATGAAATGTATACCTTCTTTCCTCGGAGGGGTTGGAAAATTGAGAAAAAGTTGCAGACACACTGGCATTCATCTCCTATAATCTCCGACAACTCGCGAATATTTTTGTTCTTGATGGCAGTGTAGAGTTTGAGCACTGTTTCGAGAGCTCGCGGATCCTCCTCATCTCCTGGTAATCCAGAGTTTTTGGCATTCAATGGCACAAGCAACAACCCTCTCTCTCTCTGCCTTGATTTTGAAGAGAAGAAGCTTGTTGTGCCAATAATAGGTTGATCATCACTACAACTTGGTGGATGGAATTCAGCAAAAACAACATTATTAGCTGCTGTTTTGTTTAGGTTTTTGTGAACAGCAGCACTAGAACGAATGGTAATACGTGTGATGATATTGGTTGAGTTACAGTAGCAGAACTGAGAGATGAATGGATGGAAAGACACCAAAGCCATATGAACGAACACATTAAAATATCAATCAGAAGAAGAAGCAGAGCCAAATATTTGTGCAAGATTCCAACGCAACCTAAGTGAATATGTGCAGGTGCAGCACAGGAATGGAAATTAAAATGAATCAAGCAAACCATATGGATGGTCTCTTGCATGCGTCAATAATAGCAACTAACAAGTTAAGTATCTTTCCCACAAGCTAGGTTTCTTCCTTGGTTATGCTATTGTCTTGTCCTCTCTCTCTGCCTTATTTGGTTGCTTTCTTCTTCTTCTTCCTCTGATCTGCATTAACAAAAAAGGAATTTATTTAATATCTAATAAATCTATTAATTTGTGTCTTTTATTGGATTGAAGGGTCCATAATTTCAGTCTCGAAAGTGTATTAAATTTAAAACTATGAAATTATCACTAATTAATGTAATTAAACAAGACTAAGATATTACTTAATTACAAATATTAAACTAAACAAACTAATTTTGTATTATAAAAAGTCCACCAAATAATTTAAAATAATTTAATCATTATTTATTCAGTAATTTCTGAAATTAATAAAATATTTAATTAATAATTATTCAATAAAAAAATAACAATTAAAATATAATTACTAATTAAATTAATTAAAAAAACTAAGATATTACTTAATTACATATACTAAACGAAAGACGTTGGCCAAAAAAAGAGTAAAAAAACTAATTATATATATTTTTAAATAAAATAAAAACCTCTCTCGACAACATTTCGTTGGCATGATAGATGCCAGCAACAATTTTTCAGATTAGACAATTCCCGACGAACTTTGCCATTCATCAGGAGGGGTCTAATCAGGAAAATTATCGCCGGCATATATATGTATCGACAAATTTTCATCCAGAGAGGTTGTTTTCCTATTTTTTTCTAGTGAATGTTTAAATATTTTACTGATTTCATAAATTAATTAATAATTATTTACTATTTATTAAATAATAATGAAAACATAATATATTTAAAGATTATAGCCGCGCGGCTATACTGTTTGAATATTCAAATTTATTTAAGGAAATATGACAAAGGGCACATGAATTCTAGTGACCTCCAAATGATACATCTCCCCATTTAGGGACCTCCAAATCATAATGTGCGTATTTTCAAGAGTGCAGAATGGTGATACCATAAAGGAATCGGAAGATTGCAGGAACATGAATTCTAAATTGCTCAGGTTTTTTTTTCTTTAACAATATACACTTACACATGTTTTATCAGTACTGCAACAAACTGCCCTCAAATTTGTATTAGTTCTACTGGGGCTAGCATACGACAGTGCATTTATTAGCTGCTTTATTTTCTTTTAAGTTTACTAGTTTATGTACACTCCTTGAATTTGCACTTTGACGTATGCCATGAAATCACATTGTGTTGCACTGTCCAAGCTAATTCATGGAAAAGTTACCACTTCCATTCTTGCATACTTCATTTTACTAAAAAGAAAACAGAAAAGATCCATGGAAGAGGGAAAAAATTTGTACCAGACAGAAACCAATTAGTTTTAAATATATTCAAGCTTTACATAGACATCGTGTACTGTTCTTTTCCTTCTTTTTTGAATCAAATCTACAATTGGCCATCACTTTACAGGTTGAAACCCTATCAATGGGGAGTGACTCTGGAGATGAAACGGCATCTTACTCCCAGGTAGATGATGGGGTTGTACAGAATAATGTGATTCATGTTGACCAAAATGCTGGTGATGATACTCAAAAAACAGTAAATGGATGCTAGATTGTTGCAGGTTCATTTAATAACTATTTTACATCACGTGCAGGAGGAATGCTGCAGAGACATGTGCATATCAAGCAACAACGACAAAATAGAAATCCAATCGGAGGTGAAACATGAACGTCGTTATCTGAAATCAGGTGATTTACATAAGGAAAACAAATGTATTATGGAGATCAGTGAAGACGTTGAGAGGAAGGCTTTGCAAGCTAAATTGGACAAAATGGTTAAGGACTTGGAGGAGGTCAGATTACTCAATAGCCACTTTCAAGAGGATCGGCTATTACAGTTGTCTCACCAGAAACAGACTGAAATAGTCTGTGAACAGGTTGAGATGGAGACAGCAAACACAATTCTTCATTTACAGGAAGAGGTTGCTGCCCTTCAGTTTGAACTTGATGAGAGATTACACTGCATGATTCAGGAAAATAAGGTACTGAAAAACACCATTGCAGCTAAAGAGGATGAGATAAGGTCACTGAGTGTGGAGTGGGAAAAGCAACCTTTGAACTAACAAGATTCCTCCTAGATGGTTCTAGATCCCTCAAAAATGCCTCCTGCCAAATAGAAAGTATTGGTTGTTCATTTCCTCAAGCTAATGTTTGTATTAGTGAAGATGTCCAGAGGGCTGCCAAAGTTTGCATGGAAAAGGAAGAAACAATTGAATTAATACAAAAGAGTTTGGAAGACGCTCAAAAGATGGTAACAGAAATGGGACAGAAGTTAAGTTCCTTGAAGGGAGCAGCAATTGCTTTAAGTGAACTCCAATATCTGGATAATGATGAAACCAAAGAGGAAATTTCCTTCTGCATGCGGTTGGATGAGCAGACCAACATGGTAGAGATGCTAGAGAGGAAACTTATATTCAAGGAAATTCAGGACAAAGAAGCAGAAAATTGTGCCAATGCTGCATTCCTTGTAATAAAAGGTGACAGACAAAACAGAGAGAAACATTCCCATCTCAATACTAGGTACACCAGCCAGAAAAGTAAATGCTTTAGGATGAGAAGATGTCGTTATTGAACTTGAGTTGGCCAGGTTAGGAATATTGGAGTCTGAGAATGCTATCGAAGCATTTTATGCACATACAGAAATGCATATAGTGGCCCTTGAGACCAACATCAGTGAAGTTTCTGATGAATACAAGGAATTGGTTCAAAACTTGGTAAGTGAACGTGAAATAAGGAAGAAATACATGGAGTTAAGAGAGCATTCCAAAGTTTCTCAGTTTTGTACAGTTGAGTCGCTTTCATTAGAAGCACACAAGTATCTGAAGTCTAAAGATATTTATCACATGATTCTTGAAATAAAAAATGAGCTCACTGTAGCAAATGGTAGATTGAAAATTACTGAAGATTTCATTTACACAAAAGTAAATGTGTATGATTGCCCTTCAGCAGACAAAAGTTCAGAAGATGAAGATGAATGGAGTACTGATTGTACTACGTCAAGCTGTGATTCTTCAACCGAAAGTTTTGCTTCTGGAAACAAATTGTGGGCATTAGAAGGGCAAATGGGGGACCTGAAAGTTAAAGAACGCTCAGTACTTACAGTCTGCTGATCAAGATCCAGAAGAGTCAAAGTGGGTCTTAAAAACTTTCACGGACTCTAAAGGAGCAACATTCTGCCTGAAAAAGGAATTAGAGATATCACTTGATGCTTTCAACAAACTATATGTTAGGCTAGCCACACTCATTAGCGAGTTGGACATTGGAGGTTGTTCTAAACCAGCAGGTATATTCTTTACTGAATATCTTACACTTTTAACGATCAGAAACATAAATTGATCAAGGGACTTAATCAGCTCATATTATATGCAGGGCTGAAACAACTTGTTCCATTGTTTGAGTCAAGGACGGAGAGTTCTTATGGTTGTCATGCTACAAAAAAGGCACAACAAATTTTTTCTCAAATCATCCAATTCTTGCATTGTAAATTTGTGAGGCAACTATATGTTAGAAAGGATTAATAGTAGCACTGTCCTAACCAATCTTTTCTAAATAAGAGACTAAGTCAGCAAAATCACCGTTCTTATACTTTGTGTAACACTCTTGTGATGTGCTGGTAGTTTCTGATGAGAAGAATAATTTTGCTAGTAGCTTCTTAACCAAAGCGCATGCAACAATAAAAGAAGCTGATGTTATGTTAAATGCCTTGATGGAAGCAAATGAAAATGCAAAAGAATTGACTGGCCTGTGGAAGCAAACTGGTGAGGAACTGATGTTAGAGAAAGCAAGCTTTATTGAAGAAGTTGAACATCTCAAAAATTCAGTACGTTTGAAAGAAAGGGAGAATGAACTACCTCTCGTTATAATTTGGTGGAGATAGCAAAATCATTGTCTTTGCTTGAAGAGTGTTTTATGCAATTAAAAAGTGAAGTGGAGGACAGGTTCAAAGTATTATATGCTGATAATTTTTCTATGGGAAGGGAGATACACTGCTTCATTAGCAAATTAAGATCATTACTAGAAGAAATATGCGCTGAGACATTGGAGAAAAAATTTGCCATATTTGTCCTTCATCAGTGTCTCACAGGAGAGCTGATCCATAAAAGACCATGCTTTAACGTTGGAAGTGGTTTCCGCTCCAGCAGACAGCAAGAAGGCCTTTCAATTACAAACAAACAACAAAAAATGTGGTCAAGTTGTGAGGATGACATTGCACTTACTAGTAACATCTCCAAAGACAATAATGATCAAAGTGGAGTCACAAATTTGAAAGCTGGTGAGCTCAGTTTGTCCCGTGATAGTTTGATGCACGAGAATTTATCACTGAAGGAAGAACTGCAACGGAAAGATGCTCTACTGGAGGGCTTGCATTTTGATTTTAGAATGTTGCAGGAATCAGCATCCAACACAATGGATATAAAGGATGAAACTGAATAGCTGATAAAATCTTTGAGCCAAATTCAGAATGAACTAAAAATAAAAACATGCCAGCTTGATGACCTGCTGTTTCAACATAAAAAGCTCGAGGATCATCTTACTGATACTGAAAAGGCTCTGCTTTTATCAAATTCTAATCTTGAGCAGGCCAAAGATACAATCAATACTCTTTCAGAGTAAATTTTGAGTTGAAAGTGCTTCTAAATGATCTCTATCTCAAAAATTCTAAAGCCAATGAACAACTGGAAGAGCAGAAGGAAATGGCGAAAGGTTGGGAAAAAGAAATTCTTCATTTGACTTCTTCAATGGAAACAAAATTACTCTGTCAAGTTGAAGGTATCGAGGATGAGTTGAGAAGGGTCATCA